AACTTTTATGTAACTCAAAGCAAAATTGTGAGAGAATTATAATCTGATATTTTTTCGCACCTTATTTCTTTATTTCACTGTTGCAAAACCATCCATCAACTAGATGTGTCGGAACGCCACTAATGCCCCCAAAACCAGCCAAAATTTCAAATTGCAAATTATAAATTGCATATTTGTAACCGAGATAATGATTAGAAATTGTGAATTTTTAAATATTTTCCAAGTTCAAGGGGGGGGGGGGGGGGGGGGGAGGGGGGGGGGACTGTCAAAAATCATCGGACCAGGACCAAATTCGAACTTGACCTGTATTTTCTAGTATTTTCTAGTAAAATACCTGCATATGCAACTTCAATCTTAAACTTTAACATAGATTCCTACAAAAGTTAGAGTCCAGAAACTAAAAATTTCTTATTTTTTCTATGTTCAGGGGTCGCCCGCGTGGCGCAGTGGTTAGAGCGTCTGTTCTAGAGTCGCGGAGTAAGGAGTTGATCCTCGCGGGTTTTATGGCGGGGACATAAAAATCTTAGACTGAAAGACATTAAGACAAAATTATATTTCTTGCTACAGTCTACTTGTACTCAACGCTTTTTTGAGAATCAGATCAAAATTGAAAATTTTTGAGAAAAATATCATAAACTATTTTCTTCCTAGTTACAATGGTAATTATTCATTAAAATACAGAATTTAATACAATTATGCATCTTGATGCAGTCTACTTGTATACCAAGTTTAATCAAAATCGGACAAAAAAAACTGTGAGAGGAGTACAGTGTTTTGAAAGAATTTCACAAAAATTCCAATATTCAGTGACCACTTCAACACTACTCATTATCAAAAACCAATAAACAAAATTACTGTCTTTGTGTAGCGTATTTGTGTTCCAAGTTTCATTGAATTCAATCACAATTGGAGCAAAGTAGCATATTTAAAAATTGTTCACAGACAAACAGACAGACATATGAAAACTTTACCATAGCATTAGCTCATCTTTTCTCTGATTATAGAGCTAACAATCTACAGAACATAATCAATGTACACAGAATCAAACCAGAATACAACAATACTACAGGGGGGCTATAAATAAATGTATAATTAACAACATAACAAGGGTTAAATATAATAAATATCATATATCTTTCTTGACATACATGTACAAGCATTCTCACTTTTATGAAATTAACTACATACCCTTTATCATTTGAAAAATTTTTTTATTCGTCAGAATCCATGCTTGGCTATAAATTTTCATAAACACGCAAGCATATAAACAATTCACGGCAAGAAATATACACATGGCAGATGATGGGTAGTGTGTCAAAAAAAAAAAAAAAAAAAAAAAAACCACATCTTTAAAAAAAATTCACTGAATAAAAAAAATTCTAACAAGTCAATACTTTCTTATGACATCCAAAGAAAAAAAAGAAACCTAATAACTTCCGTTTAAAACAGAATAGAAACTATGGTTACCAGACTTGAAACACTAGGTAGCATATTCCAGTAAAATATGTACTTAAAAATCTGTTACCTTTGTATCTTATGCTAGATAATGCTTAGCAGCACTAATTGAAAATAAATGTAGAATAGAACAGGGGTATTAAAGGTACTGAGATTCTAAGAGACAAGCAAAATGGTTTTGCATAATTCATCAATCAACACAATCTGGGATAAACAGATGCTGAACAAGGACTTTTTATAACAGGCTGTCATAAGGAGAGCCTGACCTCACTTGACAAGAAAGATTTTAAGGCTACAATGTTTCTGCAAAAACTGTGCTTTTGTACAAACTACACAATCTTTGTATTTTCTGATAAATTGCCTTTGAGATAATCAATAAGAAATTGGTTGGTTTTCAATATTTATCTAGAAATCTCTCAGGAATCATTATATAATAAAATCATAAATGCAGGAGAGTTTCTGTCATGTCATAAAACATAGAGTAGTGGTTTCCTATATATTTCTGTTAAAGAAACTGTGAAAGAAGTAAATGTCTGTTTTTATCTAATTAAACATTAAGTTCTTTTTACTTATAGTTGTTTGTGAATTATCTGATTTGTACAGAGACTTCATTGTTTCCTCCTTCTTTTCTTAAGCCAGAACACTGGTAGAAATGTTTACAGCTGATAAGGTGACTCACATTATAACCTAATGAACTTCCATTGCTCATAAAACAGATCCCTGACAAATTATGTTTGTAAACATGACCCAGAAATTTACTGTTTTAAATATGGTCTACTTCCTGTTAGGATTTACTACTGAATTAGATTTTACTGACACCAGACTAATAATTATAGTTATTAAAAAAAATTGCAGTGATTTCTATATTTAGGTGCATTTACTCTTTGATAGGACTTCTTAACATGTACTTCTTCAATAATTTAATAAGAAATCTAGCACTTTTAGTGATATTTCATATTAGAAATCGCTAAGACATACGTTTGATTTATGTAATTATAAGCATTCTATCCACAATACACTGTATCATTATGTGGTTTATTCCTCTCAAAACTGACTAGATGGAAGAAGAGCAAGATTTATCTGTGAAAAAAAACAAAAACATTTAAGTTGCATGAACTATCATATCTAATGAGCAAGGACCCTCAACATTTCAGGTGGAATGATACTTTTCTCACAATAAAATGAATTTTTTTTAAAAATAATGGCAGTTTTTTTTTTAACAGAAGTTGGAAGTATAAGACATTTTGTCTACAATTTGGGGCAAACTTTTGGACACATTATTGTAGAAGATGAGGAACTTGTATTAAGGAAACAATAACTAAACAATTTCTGAGTAATATCTCTTAGCAGAGTTGTATTAGTTATCCAGGTCCAATCAAGGCTGTACGGGGATTTACCCCGGGTTTTATTCCGTACACCCTGAGGCCTCAGGGTGTATGGAATAAAACCCGGGGTAAATCCCCGTACACCCTTGATTGGACCTGGATAACGAATTTACTTCCTATGTACCCAAATAAATTCTTTGTAAATGAGTCCAATCAACTGTGTTTCACTATTGATAAGTTTTACTATATGTCCTACAATGCATCATGGCATCATGTTATTCGCTTTTAATCATAGAGAAACTATGCATTGTGACATCATGTTTTTTTTTACCCCTGGCTCAAGTCGGGTGTACAGAACTTTATACCTGACTTTGTAAGCAACCAAAGCTCGTGTTGCAAGCTCCATAGGAAATAATCTATCTTATCCGAGGGTCACTTTTTAAAATGACCCATATTTCATTCATTTTTCCCCATTCAAGAAAAATTTAAAATTTAAAATAAGTAGCAATTTGACATTAAGTTTCCATCCAATTACATGATTTGGCAACGCCAATGTACTTTCTCCAGGTTCCTGTTATTTTTACTAATGTTAAAAATAGTCTCTGTATAATACAAACAATCCTCAACCTGTCAACCATTACAAAAATTTGTCAACAACTTAATTTTTTCACAGTTGAACTGTTTACATGAGGAATTTCTTTTACCCGTAACAAAAATGTAGGTATACATGTTTGTAAATATGTAAGGAGGCAGTAACAGTTTTTATTGCAACGTTTTACCCCAGTGTAACACTGCTACATTATCATCACTGGAGCTTTAGGCTATGCCAGGGATAATAACTGTTGAATAACTGTTATATCATGAAGATAAAAATAACCAGATGGGCAATTAATCAGGGGTCTCAGTCAAGCACCTGGTGTATATAGTCAGCAAAGTAGAGAAAAATTCAAAAAGCCATCACAACACAGAAGGGCTTAAATACTGTATACAGAGAAATTTTCACCCCATTTTATTTTCAACCCTTTTGCCCTATTCTTATTTGGGCGAATTCAAAATAGGGCAAATTCAAAGAACAAAGTACAATTTCTTATACCGAAGTGTAAATGGCGAATTTAAAATGGGGCAAAATTGTTTGCAGGTGTAAAAGGGCAAAAATAACACAGGATGAAAATAACCCTGTATACAATAAGAATATGTAAAGGGGAAATGGGTGTGATTGCTTGTTTATCACAATACAAATACAACATCAAGAATTATTATGGAGAAAAATTAAGGAGAAAATCACTCCATAAATAAAGGACAGGTATCTCCTGTGCTTAAGGGCTGAGTACTCCTTAGCAAAAAGGGCATAGAACTAATTCATAAAAAAAACAAAATAAAAATCAACAAGATTAAGAGTGTTAAACATGGGTAAGACAACCAATTATTAAAATATTAAATAATCAACATGAAAAATATATAAAGTGTGTTTATGGCACTTAAAATATTAAACATGAACTGTATTGTATATTCAAAGGATTTCAAATGAATTCATAAACATGTGCTTAATTACTGGAACTGTAATGATAAACACTAGAAATAATCAACAAGGTCAATTCTTAAACACTGAATCACTTGATGATAAATATCTACTACAAACCTGTTTACCCTATTCTGCAGTTTTCAATAATTTAACTGGTTTCTCTCGATAATTTTCAGCTACATGTATAATTTGTCATTGGCAATAGATCGTTTTAATTTTCTATTGTACATGTAACAAGTTTTAGATGAGAATGTTTGTTAGATAATATCTGTTTTTTTCAGCAGTTGCAGTGAATAAATGGCAATTTGAATAATTATCTATATATGTGTAATTAAGGATTTTAATTATATCCCAATCATTGCTAAAGTATTAATTATACAACATAAAATTTTTAAATTTTAAATTTTGAGCATATAACAGATATGTCATATCCAGAGGCAAATCCATTTTGTGTTTAAAAAACAAAAATTCGTGATAAATACAGAATTTCCATAATAGTAAACAGCTCTGCTAACATTAACTATAAAACAAACTTATAAGAACTAAAGACACAAGGTGAGATTAAAAAGTATTCATGACATGAAAGCTCATACCTTTACTATTAAATGAAATTTGACTCATAAGTCATTTTTAAATACTTTCCTAACTAACTTTTTTCATCTAACTCAAAAATAAATCAAACAAATAATGCTTAGTATCAGACAGCTACAATTACAAAATATCTAACATACATGTATTAGTTGTGATTATGCTAACTTGGATTTGATGTGTGGTAGCTTATTTGTAGAATACAGAGTTACTATAGCCTCAGCATATTGTAAGGCTGACCGATCTAACCAGGTTATGGGGTCTGGGGTCAAAATACCGCTCTCAAAAAATCCAAGATGGCCACCGTGCCTTGTTTCCACAAGTAAACTGTAGGGATGAGATTCTAGAGAAAAATATTAAATAAAGTATACTATTCCAAACATAGATCTGAATTTATTGGTTACCAAAATTTTTTAAAGTGTGAGACAATTGAATTCAGACTTTCTTGAAGCAAACTTTTAAAATGTGGTACGTAAGAGGTATGATGTTATGGTCTCTTTATCATATAACACAAACTCTTCCCAAGAAAGACAATTCTTTAAAATCTAATATTCTAAATTTCAAGAAATGTGTAACATGTAACAAAAAAAGTTCCTTTAGCCATAAAATGTGTATCATTTTGATACTTTATTGAATTCTTTTTTTACAAATGTATATATGTAAAATTTTATGGATTCTTTCTCCTCTAGAGTTAAAAATGTGAGAAATATCTTATGATTTCTTTCAGTTCTTGAAATTTAATTAATAAGTATGTGAACTGGATCTGATTCTTTGAGTCCTTACTTGCGTATTCCTTTCCTATGTCTACCAGAGGTGGGGGAACAAGTGGGTCATCTTCTGCATTCAGAAGAAACATTGGTAGTGTTATCTACAAATAGACAAAAGAAACATTGGAAGTGATATCTACAAATAGACAAAAGAAACATTGGTAGTGATATCTACAAATAGAGAGTAGACACATTGGTAGTGATATCTACAAATAGAGAGTAGACACATTGGTAGTGATATCAACAAATAGAGAGTAGAAACATTTGTAGTGATATGTACAAATAGAGAGTAGACACATTGGTAGTGTTATATCTACAAATAGAGAGTGGACACATTGGTAGTGATATCTACAAATAGAGAGTAGACACATTGGTAGTGATATCAACAAACAGAGAGTAGACACATTGGTAGTGATATCTACAAATAGAGAGTAGACACATTGGTAGTGATATCTACAAAATAGAGAGTAGACACATTGGTAGTGATATCTACAAATAGAGAGTAGAAACATTGGTAGTGATATCAACAAATAGAGAGTAGAAACATTGGTAGTGACATCTACAAATAGAGAGTAAAAACATTGGTAGTGATATCTACAAATAGAGAGTGGACACATTGGTAGTGATATCAACAAACAGAGAGTAAACACATTGGTAGTGATATCAACAAATAGAGAGTAGAAACATTGGTAGTGATATTTAAAAATAGAGAGTAGAAACATCGGTAGTGATATTTACAAATAGAGAGTAGAAACATTGGTAGTGATATCTACGAATAGAGAGTAGAAACATTGGTAGTGATATCAACAAATAGAGAGTAGACACATTGGTAGTGATATCTAAAAATAGACAAAAGAAATATTAGTAGTGATATCTACAAGTAGAGAGTTTTAGCATTTGCATGGAAGATTTCACTTTCCTTTAATTTAAAAATATTACTAGAGAACAACTACATTTCTGATTACCATTTCTGTCATTTTTTAAACCACTCCGCTTTGGCAACCTGACATCACTTAAGTGTATCTCTCTCCTTTTTTAGCAATTAAAAAGCATCAAACTGAGACAGACCATAAAGAAAACTACTTGCTAAAATCCAAATGAAGGATTTCCCATTTCCATATTTTCATTATAGCAAAACATGAGACTTAATTTGGACTCAAAATCTGTACAAAATATGGCTAAATCGTAAGAGTCAACAGATCTGCAAAATATCTGTGTCGCAAGCATGGTGCTGTGTTTAAAACATATTAAATTGAGTCCCACTGAGGGACATGGAGTATGGCCATTTAGATGACACCATACAAACTGATGGTCTGTGTTGCAGTAGTTGCTGGTATGAAAAAAAGATTCCTCACAGAGCAATGGTCCTGAGTGCCAGTATAGGTCTAAAAATTGCAGCCCTCCACTGGCAAGTGGTAAAATCTTAATTGATTGAAAAATACTCAAAAGGGAGATTCAAGAAACAAGCTAAAAAAAAACAAAGAAAGAAAGAAATACTGGTAGCAATATGTACAAGTTGACAGTATGGAATTACCTTAGGTTTGTGTGTAACTGTGATGCTTTCTATAAAGTTATTATAGCTTCACACGTTCTTGTGTCAGTATTCTTAGGAGCTACCATAGCTTTATGTGTAAATGTGACCTTGTTCTCTGCAGTTATCATAGCTTTAAGTGTTAATGTGACCTTGTTCTCTGGAGTATTGTGTGTAAATGTGACATTGTTCTCCAGAATTACCACAGTTTGTGTATAAATAAGACCTTGTTCTCTGGAGTTACCAAAGCTTTAAGTGTAAATGTGACCTTGTTCTCTTGAGAAATCATAGCTTTGAGACCTTGTTCTCTGGAGTTATCATAGCCTTATGTATAAATGTGACCTTGTTCTCTTGAGTTACCATAGCTTTGTGTATAAATGTGACCTTGTTCTCTGGAGTTATCATAGCTTTACATGTAAATGTGACCTTGTTCTCTGGAGTTACATGTACCATAGCTTTGTGTGGAAATGTGACCTTGTTCTCTGGATTTATCCTAATTAATACAAACCTGATCCATGTATCCTCTACAGCTGTGTGTCCGGTGATATTCCTCTACACTCTTAAACCCCGCCCTCCTCCTGTCAATCAAAAAAAAAAAAAAAAAAGAAAATACTAAATTGTGTCATTTAATAATACATCTTGTTAAGATACAAACACCATACAAATAATCTATAAACTTTATCTTTTATTATACAGATAAATATAGGATCTTCCATGATTTGTGGTTGGATATGATTTTTGTCCAACAAGTTGCATGTACACGAGTTGGATATAAATCATATCCAACCACTAATCATAAGAGATTCTTTTTCATCACATGCTTTATACATCACTATCAATGTTTTAGACTTTTTATTTATGAATCCACATTATTTTACTATATCACTTTCAAACAAAAGCCATTGTGACGTCACCAAAGTTACATGAAAAAAAAAGCCATTGAGTGATATCCATGGGATAAAGGGATAAACATGTGATAAACATATACATTTACATTTGCTGTGTTTTTCTACTATACCAGGGGTGTGCAATTACAAAAATTAGTTACTAGCCCGTCGGGCTAGTGGCAGTAACAAAGTTACTAGCCCGAGGTTGCCAGTCACTAGCCCATTAACTACCGAAAACAATACATGTATAACTACGAGGGGTTATCAAAAAGTTCGTGGACTAGCGTGATAAAATTAAAACCGCTTTAGGTACATCAATGAATTTTTACACATTTAGTTAGCATCATCCTTTCTATCTATAGAATAAACCATAAATCATAATTTTTATTTTTTTAATAAAATGTTAGTGTTTTTGTAAGCAAAGGTATGTCCAGGCGGCGCAACCTCTAATATGACGTTTTTTCCTACCTGAGTGTAACTGAGAAAAACTCTTTAGATATGAGTATTTGTCATCAGGAAATCTCGTTAATTCAGGCATGTGGTATGACACATTTGTTCAGTAAAATTTGGAATTTTTACCCCATTCTGTAATTTCTATGAAATTTTATCGTAAATTTTATATGGAGTGTCCAAACAATTGTGGGCGTGAAAATAACGTCAAAAGGGGGGAGGGGTTTCTTTTTCAAACACTCTATAGAGTTTCGGTCCTGGAAAAACTGGTATTGACCTAAGGAATGTTTAAACTGGCTACAGAAAAATAAAATGCATCCAGAGTACTTGTTTTTTAATGCCTAAAAAGATTCAGAGAGATGAAATATGCACAGCTAGTGTCGATTTGTAGTCAGGGTGTCAAAAGTCAGTCACGTCGAAAAGTGACGTTGATCATGTGTGGTAGAAATTGAACTCCAACAAGCTAAGTATTCTGGCATAATCAAGTGAGGATCTTTCCCCATATAAAGATCCATTTACAATATTATATGCATTGAAAACAGCTGCTCATGACATTGTAAATTCATATAAATAAGACGGGTTTAAGTCCTAACTTAACTCCAGGTAATCTCATCAAGATAAGTGTATGAGGTAGAGAGAGCGGACATTAAGAAACAATGACGTTAAGCGGACGTCATGACACTAAACGGCGACAGCGCCGGGTGATCACATAAAGTCTTTTTAATTTTAGAATAATTTGGCAAATTATCAACTTATCAAGCTAAAATTTTCAATATTTCTTAAACTTTTGTTGTTTTATGTTCCGCATAAATTTTGTAAGCAAAGACTACATATTATTAATTTTATCGCGTCAGTCCACGAACTTTTTGATAACCCCTCGTATAACAATAAGGTTAAAAAAACCCATTTAAGTTGAAATAAATAAAACAAATAATGGCTTGCGCTTTGTTATTGTCAGGTATTTCTCCCTATTTTTATCGACTATAATTATTATGTCACTGAAACGTCTGGCGATAGCAACACACAAAACATATAGGTTAAAACGAATTAAAGATTATGATTTTACAACAAGGTTAATTTGTACATCAATTCAGTCAAATATACGTATACTTTCGTTTTAGATTTACTAGCCCGACGGGCAAACGCAGTATAGATTTATGATAGCCCGATCTCTAAAATTGGTAGCTCTGGGCGTCGGGCGATGGTAATTGCACACCCCTGTATATTAACTAAGATATTGATTTGAATGCGATTTTCGTGTATACTCACGCGTAGATATATAAACGGAGAAATTGCACTGACGTGACGTCACAATGAGGATGCAGAGACGTCATTAAAAATACGACGATATAGGGCAGCGAGAAATTCAAACATTGAGTGTATTTTTGCTGCGTTTAAACATGTAAAATGTAAATATAAGGAATGTTTTTCAAGCTCCAACAGCTGTGAACAGACATGTTTTCTGTGACTGTGGACCACAAACAATGTCATACAAGTACAGAAATATGTACCTATAAAATGTTCTAAGACAAAGGTACCAGATCTACATGTATCAGGCATAACTATATTGTGTAGGCCTTGTGGCAACGCACTTTGAAAAAATTATGCACTTTGAAAAATATTTTTCAAAGTGCGTTAAAATTGGGACAAAATCAACGCACTTTGAAAATTTTTTTCAAAGTGCGTAAAATTTGGGACAAATCAACGCACTTTGAAAAAATTTTTCAAAGTGCATTAAGAGTGTACATCAAGATTTTTTTTACCATGGAGACACTTAACGCACTTTGAAAAAATACGTATAAAACAAAAATTCTGGACTTCGATTTTAGTAATAGATAGCATTAATTTAGGAATGACTCTAATTCTTGGCCAAATTATTCGAGTATAACCTGGTTTGGGTCAGTTTATGCTTTATAATCCGCGAAGCGGATTATAAAACAGCGTAAACTGACCCAAACCAGGTTATACTCGAATAATTTGGCCAAGAATTAGAGTCATTCCTTATAATTTAATTTTAAAATCATTAAACAACTGTGGTTGTAAAATTTCGTTGCTTTTTATTAGTTCAAATTTGCCGCTCAATAATACAACCGTAGTAACGGAAGTGATGGGAAGCGAGGGGAGGTAAAAACTGATACATAGTCCTAGCAGCCATGTTGTTTGATTACATGTGGTAAGATCCGAGTTACTGTTCGAAGTAAAAGGTACATTTATTAAATCTGGAATTTTCCATGAATCCCGAGGACTAGAAATGAGATGATTGCATGGATACAGACGATTCAGCTGGTTGTCAGGGGGGGGTGTCCCCATACCAAACCAGGTTATACAGAAATAATTTGTGTTCCTTTTTGGATATTAACCAATCAGAGGCTAGAATACAAACAAAATTAAATTATTTTGTTATATTTCGTCCGAAAAACTGATGAATTGATCTACCCTCATCGAGAACGAGGAGAAGACAGGTAGAAAGTCCCTCACCCCAACTCTCTATCTTTCCTTCATAAATATATGTATATGCATAACTGGTATGACATTGATATTATTTCTCTCAGTAAATTTGAGTTAACGTAAATAGATGAAAAAATTGAGATGAGTCGCATAACCTTTATTCAGAATGTATCCACAATGATTCCTTAGAAAAAGGGGCATTTACATGGTAATTAAAACATGCTATTTGACATGTCTAGCGTTTTAATGATATCAAATCACAGATTTAGAAGTAATCTGACTGCATAACTTTTTTGAGAAAAATTTATGAGTGAACGAGGTAAAAATTTCAGACGAGTGAGTAATATGGCTAAGGTTTATTTTCCTACTATCAAATAAATGAGTCAACCATTGTTTCATATATATTCACAATAGATAGATAGATGAATATGAAAGAAAGATAGATGAGGGAGAGAATTTTCATGGTATGGAAAAATCATAATTGCTCCCTTTTCCCTAAGAAAAATGCGATGTGTAAGTCACTTATCGACACCTACATCTACCGAACTTATTAGAGACTGGATAAAATTTAAAAAAGAAAAGAAAAAAAAGAAACGAAACTGTGCTATTAAACAATCATTCCTCCTTTTTTCTAAAAGACCCATTTCCTTTTTATAACAGTTACAAGAACCTTTGGAAACAAGACAACTCCTAAAAATCTTTAAAACGTCTAAATCTCAGATCCTGAAGTCATCACCAAAAAGTTATCCAACTAGGTTCAAATACATGTAATTATTTATCACACCTAAAATTTGCAAGAATATTGACCAAGCCGTGCACATTTTTTTTCAAAGTGCGTTTATATGGTCAATATTAACACACTTTGAAAAAAAAATTTTTTTTTCAAAGTGCGTTGACCTGGTCCCAAAATTAACGCAATTTGAAATTTTTTTTCAAAGTGCGTAATTTTTCAAAGTGTGTTGTAACAATGCCTCATCAAGTTTTAACAATGACAAAGATAAGTACATATGTACCTACTATACCCTTTATGACAAACATCAGCATATAAACATACTGACAAACATCAGCATATATACATACTGACAAACATCAGCATATATACATACTGACAAACATCAGCATATACATACTGACAAACATCAGCATATATACATACTGACAAACATCAGCTTATACATACTGACAAACATCAGCATTTATTACATTTTCAACAGTGAAATACTGTGATTTATTTATTGAATAAAAGTGACATTCTCTCACAGTGTGAAAGAATACCAAAAATGATATTCTCTCACAGTGTGAAAGGATATCAAAGTAAGTAAAAAATAATTTCTGGCCTGTCATAAGATAGATATAGTAACTAAGCATCTTGATAGAGCTAAAACTGCAAATTTCTTCCTAAATATATTGCTAAAATCCATGCTATGTAATGTTTTCAATCTGACACACAACTTCTAAGCTATGACGTCTCAACCGCTCAACTATGACGTCAAGCCTATGACACTGTGTTAAGAAAAGACAGAGGCAAAGGGAAAATCAAAGAAAATGTAATAAACAGAAAATTCAATGTTTTGTAGATGAATATGGAATTTATTTCACTCGTGAGACAGGATTTTTTGATATTTTCACTCGTGCTTCGCACTCGTGAAAATATCAAAAAATCCTGTCCCACTCGTGAAATAAATTCCATATTCATCTACAAAACATTGAATATCCTCTATATATACATACTGACAGACATCAGCATATACATACTGACAAACATCAGCATATACATACTGACAAACATCAGCATATATACATACTGACAAACATCAGCATATACATACTGACAAACATCAGCATATACATACTGACAAACATCAGCATATATACATACTGACAAACATCAGCATATATACATACTGACAAACATCAGCATATATACATACTGATAAAGATCAGCATATAAACATACTGACAAACATCGGCATATACATACTGACAAACATCAGCATATACATACTGACAAACATCGGCATATACATACTGACAAACATCAGCATATATACATACTGACAAACATCAGCATATATATACTGACAAACATTAGCATATATATATGTACCTACTTTAAGCCTCATCGAGTTTGTACTGTGACAAACATTAGTATATATGTACCGACTATATGCCTTGTCAAGTTTGTACAGTGACAAACATTAATATATACATACCGGCTATATCCCTCGTCAAGTTCGTACGTATATGTACCAACTATATGCCTTGTCGAGTTCGTACACATACATACTGACAAATATGCCTCGTCGAGTTCGTACATATACGTACCGACTACATGACTCGTCGAGTTGGTACATATACATACCGACTATACGCCTCATCTAGTTCGTATATATACATACTGACTACACGCCCCGTCCAGTTCGTACAGTGACAAACATTAGTATATATGTACCGACATACGCCTTGTCCACTTCGTACTTATATATACCGACTATACGCCTCATCCAGTTCGTATATATACATACCAACTACACGCCTTGTCCAGTTCGTACAGTGACAAACATTAGTATATATATGTACCGATATACGCCTTGTCCAGTTCGTACATATACGTACCGACTATACGCCTCGTCCAGTTCATATAGTGAGGTAGAAGCTAACACTTGCTCTGGATCTATGTCATATTTCTCCTGGACATCTTTACCCAGTAACATGTCGTAATGTCGCCGTAACATCTTCTTCTGGTTTGATGTCATCACGTATCCATACATTCTTCTTAAATGAACCCAATCCTTGGCCAATTCTATCGCTCTGTCAAAGAGAAGACAAAAGCTGTACCAACAGATCTTTAACATGTAGTATGTTCATTTTCTTTCCTTTTTTTTTTAAGTAGGTAAACATTATCTTCCCTAATCCCACGTTAATTTTAACTCATTCTGAAGCAAAGCAAACCTTATAAAAGGTTAAAAACAAGACAAAACAAAATGGCATCACTTTCTCAGCTGCAGTCAAATATACATATTTATTTGGTTAAACTTATGATACAGTATTGGAAATGTTCACAAAAATTAATCCCAAGCCAAGTTATTTTTAAAACATTATTTTATATATATGGTATTACAGATAAACAAGCTCTTTGTCTTATTTCACAAAAATCATAATCCCTCTCAAAAAGCTACCTGGACTTTCTACAAAGACTTCAACGTTTACAGCAATGCCAGCTCAGAGAGAAAAGATAATTCAGAGTAAATTATCTGCCACTTACTGCCCAGAGAAGAAAGATAATTCAGAGTAAATTATCTGCCACTTACTGCTCAGCATCATAACCTTGACAAAGGGACATAACACACAGAAAGTCTTCCTGTCTGGAGTTGTCTTCTCCTACATATTTCACTACCACATTTCCCCCCATACTGAAACCAACTCCCAACAACTTGGTGTCAGGGTAGGTCCTCATCACCTCTTCTACCATCGCACCATACTCCTCTGTACCACCTATAAATATCAACCAATCAAAAATAAATATCTCTGTTTAGGAACAAATAACAGCCAATCAGGATAAAGAATGTATTGAAATAAATATCAACCAAACTGATATTTAGGAATCTGTATTATGGACAAATGTGATAGGTTGATTGAATTCATTTATTTTTGATATAATTTATCATAAGGCAGAATTTGATTAATTCATTTAAATCAGAAGATCAAATTTATTTCTTTACAGCATTTACCATATGTAAACATCTATTGGTTTGTTATTTTATCGAATGATAACATCCTTGGATTTGTAATTTTACCATCATGACCATATATAAAGTCCTTGTGCACATTATTTTACAATATGTAAACATCCTTGACACTGTTATTTTACCATATTAGAACATCCTTGATCTGGGTATTTTACCATTTTAGAACATCCTTGATCTGGGTATTTTACCATTTTAGAACATCCTTGATCTGGGTATTTTACCATATTAGAACATCCTTGATCTGGGTATTTTACCATATTAGAACATCCTTGATCTGGGTATTTTACCATTTTAGAACATCCTTGATCTGGGTATTTTACCATTTTAGAACATCCTTGATCTGGGTATTTTACCATATTAGAACATCCTTGATCTGGGTATTTTACCATTTTAGAACATCCTTGATCTGGGTATTTTACCATTTTAGAACATCCTTGATCTGGGTATTTTACCATTTTAGAACATCCTTGATCTAGGTATTTTACCACAACTATGTTCACATGCTTGAACTTGATAGAAGTGTTCTAAGTGATGAGCAGATACTTTACCATATGTAAACATCCTTGAGCTAGTTAGAGGTGTACTGGAAAGTGCGCCTAGGTGGTTTAGGACTGCCACCCTATATCCCCTCTCCTGAGCGTAATGGACAAACGTACAAATGTAGGAGGTCTCACTGCTGTTAGCGATTCCTGGACATAGTACCATAGTGTAGTCACCTAAAAGACATGTCGTATCAAACCTTTATTAAAATATCATTTATAGATCAACTGTTACATGTATAGAGGCATTCAACACACACAGACACAATCTTATTATGTTGCTTAAGGTTCAAGGATCCTCTGATAAGAGAGGTAACTCTTAATGGGATAATATCTTTTATTGAATTTAAATATCGTCAAAGACAATTTCTGTAAAATTTTTGCTCAGCAAATATAAACATTAATTGGAAAACCAATTCATTAATTATCATTAAACAAAATTTTATCTGCATAAACAGATGGATACTGAATTTTAAAATAGAACCATATTGCTGTCTCACTGTTAGAAGTCATCTTCAATTACTCAACTCTGTACTTATATTTATATTTATCAATTCATCAAACTTTTTAAATAACATATATTTTTTAGTGTCTTGTTTAGGATATTTTTCATGATCAACCATTCATAATGAATTCAATGAATTAATCTTCCTTGCTATTATAAAAATGTACCTCAATATACAGAACTTTACCAGAATCAGTGAGGCAGAACGACTGTATTTATGTTCACACTTGACTGGCTAAATAACATGTTTTTATGCACTCTATCTGTACTTTTACACAACAATCATTTACATCTAAAAAGTTAGAAATCTTATTCAAATCCAGAAATTAACATTGACATAAGTTACCAAGGTTACAGTATGTAAACATGGTAAATCTGTCAAGATCATTTGAGATGTCAATACCATTGCTTGAATGAGCCTTGTGCGGTTCAAACACATCGTATGTCATAGTGGCGCCATCTGGCATCAGAACACTGCATCGCTCACCCTTAGGATAGGGGGACTGAACTCTTCCCAGTTTGGCGTAGATAAAGGTCTGTAGATGTCCACTCTTACCCCATATCAGAGGAGGTAGATATCTGTGATAGAAGATGGCAGATATTGACAATGATAGATGGTAGATATCTACAGTAAATGATGGCAGATATTGATAATGATAGATGGTAGATATCTACAGTAAATGATGGCAGATATTGACAATGATAGATGGTAGATATCTACAGTAAATGATGGCAGATATTGACAATGATAGATGGTAGATATCTACAGTAAATGATGGCAGATATTGACAATGATAGATGGTAGATATCTACAGTAAATGATGGCAGATATTGACAATGATAGATGGTAGATATCTACAGTAAATGATGGCAGACAGGCAGATATATTGTATAATGATAGATCTATGGTAGATATCTACAGTAAATGATGGCAGATATTGACAATGATAGATGGTAGATATCTACAGTAAATGATGGCCGCAGATAAATGTAACAAGAGAAAAAGATATCTGTGATAAAATTGGCAGATATCTGTATCAAAAAATAGCAGGTATTTATAGTGAAGGTTGATAAATATCTAAGGTAAATGATGACAGAGATATGTTACAAAAGACAACAGATATTTGTAAGATAATATTGCTAGATATTCATAAATTTATAAAGTACTCTCTTTTAAAACATAACACCAAAATGTCAGTGCAGTTGGTTAACAGGTTAATGTTTATAAAATGTTCATCTAATATGTAAGTACACATTATACCATGGTATAAAATGAAAACAGATATATTCTACAAAAAATAATTGGATTTGTAATATATAGAGTACCTTTTAACGAGTGTATCTTTAGATATCAGACGAGGGGGCTTGTCCCCCGAGTCTGATATCTGAAGATGCACGAGTTAAAAGGTACTCTATATGTTTTGTATCATTGTTCTCAGGAATTGAGTTGCCCATGATCTATCAATTTCACATAAATAGCACGTACTTCAACTATACATTCTCATTCACTGAATTAGCCATGAACTATCAAAATTTCATCACATCCATTTTATATAACCAATGAAAAAAGAGCATGTGATTCGAAAAGTATAGCACGCTGTATTTCTTGAACTTTCTACCTCGTCCATTCATATTCTGAACGCCATGGATGGCGGTTGTGATTTTATGCTTTCGCAATTCTTATAGACACAGAAATCGAAATTATGAAGGAAAATTCCTTAGATCAGTTCGGAAACCAGATGCAGGTTGAAGATTCTTTGGGAAGTATGATGTTTGATCTACCGGAACTAAAAATTGAACCTATTGTGGATTTCCATATAGGAGATATTTTAGACATGATGGCATTATTTTTACTAGTCCCGAGGTCGACACGAAGACGAAAAATGAAAGGTTTGTACAAGTGTCCGATCATGAAATTCAGCTTTTGATAGACTCTCAAAAAAAATATCCTAACACTAGTAACGTTCAAGCTAATCAAGGAGTGGCGTGCGGCACGGGAAAATGTCCACTTTTGACCGAGATGAACAGCGATTCTCTAAATAACTGGATGCAACGATTTCTGTTGGAATTAGAAAACAAGGAATATCCACCTCGCTCCCTGTACTACATTGTGTGTGGTTTGTTACGCTTCAAGTTTATGAAAGTCGAAAACATTCATTTATAAAAATGTGCTTGTGTGAATTCCATTTTGGATTTAAAAATTGACGTGCAAAATTTAGAATTTTTTATGTAGACCTAAGGAAAGACATACCTTCACTATGTTTATATGTGTTTGTATTTTGTTTATAAAGTCAGCTTCTTTGTTTATATTCTTTTTCTTTATCAATGTAAGGTCAAGGGTCATTTGAATTGTTGCATCATTACCCTGGCGTGTTCTATCTTGATAGAGCATGGTTGTTAGAGCACAGTTAGTCATGGTGTATCAAAAATTAAAACAGTGGACATCAAAGGAAAAACACCGCAACAATGATACAAATCCAAGTTATTCCTCTGACTGGCTGTTAGAAACAGTAATATGTACCTATAACTGTGTCAGATTTGACTGACACCTAACAGTTTATCGCACTCTTTAGGTTTCATCAATATTTAATGCTCATGCAAGCACCTCAGGCAAAATCAATATATTGTCTGACTGCACTATATTGCTATCTGTAGATTTATGATTTCATCTGATTTGTTAAAACTTGAGATGATTTTAGTCAAATCAGAATAAACTTCAATAAAGCTAAACTAAAATCCTGTAAAAATATTTTGATGTATAGACAGATAGAGTATGATTTTTTCCTTTTTTTTTTTATCTAGGGCTATATTTGCAATATTAATTGTTCAAATTTCAGGTTCTTGCGTCATACAAAAGCATCATATTCAAGTTTGGCATACCAAAACTAGATACTTTAGAAAATAAATTCTAGAAGAATAAAATGTAATCAGTTTTAAAACAGTAAAATTTTAAATTATTTGACTTACACTTCTTTAAAGATCAGGCAAAGGTCCAGAATGGATTTAATAAACTGTGACCCCTCCTTATAGACAAGTTTCGGTTCTCCTGCGTAGATGGATAAATGAAGGAGGCGAAAAATGGCACAGAGTACTCCAAACAAACCCAAGGAAACTAATACCGCAGACATAACTTCTTATCTGCCGAGCGCAGGGGCTACAAATGAAGAAAACATTCGAGTAAATTCTAACCACAGAGCTGAATATCAATTGATCTCCCGGAGGTAAAACCAGCGATATAGGTAGGTATCAACTTTTACCTGTAAGTCCGAACTATTCGATATTTTCGTCAAACAAACACAGTCGTTCACCTAGATTCAATCCATGGAGCCGTCGTCGGGTGAAACGCTGCACGCCGCGGTCAGCTGTTATTTAGTATTGAAGAGTGCGTGTAAAGGGGAATGACTCATGAAAAGTACAAAGTCCAAAAAATAAGTTTATTTCGCGGATCGTAAACAGCATGACTGCACTTAACAGCTTAAGGACATGCGGAATTTGCGACAAAAATAAACTTTCAAAACAAGCATTTTTCTTTTCATTGCAAGAATGATCAACATCCAATCTACAACTTTATGTAATTACGCTTAATAAAAGTGTTTATTTACGAAGTTCGAATCTGTTTTCAAAGGCAGGGGTCATCACAATTTCTTGAATCTCCGTTCGATAATGAGGACGCCCACTTTTTTACTGACTTTATACATAGTCAGCGCATGTTTGTCTATTGTTCTACGTTTAACAGTAGTTGTATATTTGCATAAATAATAATGTGTCAAAAGGAGATTAATAGACAAACATATGCGCTCATGGTTAAAAAGAGAAAAAACTGCTTCTTCTTACATTCGCTCTCTGTGTTGTAACCAAGGATTGTGACATGTTGAATATCATAATTCACCACGTGATTTCTTACCTCGGGTAACTTTGTGAATACTAAATTCCGTCACGTGACTTATAAGGAAGCATGTTTTGTGCTAACTAGGACATTGTGTTCGAACACGTTAAGTCATCTGGCATTGATCAATATAAAATCTGCTTTAATTACATTGACGTGCTCATGTTGTTAATTTCGTTTTGAAACCTTTGTCAGAAGTGTATTTGTGCCATACAGAATGGAGAGGAGATTGGAAAAAGTGATCACATTCGCTTTTTCAAACATGTCATTGTTATTTATCAGCTGTTTATGTAGTCTAATTTTAGAGCCATTCTTACAATGTTAGCTCCACCTCTCATGCATACCTAATGTTCAATCAAGGGCAGGTAAGTGTAAATTCACTATATTTGGAAAGCAGCAAGGACAAAAACATTGAATCATTTTATTGTATCACAGTCTAAAATCATTTTAAGATTAAAATGTGGTTCCAAATTGACAGTATTCTTTCATAAACATACAAAAGTGAGATAAGGTTTAGACATAAAAGCAGCACAAGCAACCGAAAAAGACCCCAAAACAGGCGTTAAGTGCAGTCATCCTTTCTGATACATTAGTTCAAATAGTAAGTACTCCTTTATGCTATGAACCTTAAATAAATATATATATATATATATATATATATATATATATATATATATATATATATATATATATATATATATATATATATATATATATATATATATATATATATATATAACACCTAAAATTCATTTCCCAAATGTGAAAAACACCTCAGTATTTCTTGGTGGTGATGGTGGGGTCCACGTTTTCGGGGGGGGGGGGTTTCCAAAGTCATTTTTTATTTGCTCCAGTAAATACTTTTAATAACTCTGCAAATTCAAGGGGGTCCGGAACCCCCCCCCCCCCAAAAAAAAAAAACAAAAAAAAAAAACAAAACAAAACCGTGCATGGTATAGTAAATTAAGGCAGGGGGTATCGGGGAAAAGGGGGGGGGGTATATTTTTTTTAACGCACTGTTAAGGCTGTAATATTGTTGCCAAATGATAAAACGGTTTTAAAGTTCAGAATTTATTATAAGTCCAAAAATATTAACTTCACAAAATGCAACTCAGAACAAACTGAATTTAACGAAGAATTTTCGCAGATGGAACAAACTGAATTTTACAAAGAATTTTCATAGATTGACTCACATACAAACTCACTCACATCTAATCTTTGACAACTCCGCCCACTTTCTTACTGTCCAGCCAATTAAATTAAGGATAAAAAGTTGCATGAACTGGGGAAATCCGTATGACATTAATTTACAACACTGAAAGTAGGTAGAGCTAGGCATAACAAATTCAAAGAACACAATCCTAAGATCTAACCATAAAGTTGATAACACGTATGAGTAAATGACATTGATATCGTGAGATAGAAAAGAGATGTCAAGGATTAGATATTGCTACCATGTGCAAAAATGCCCTTTCTAAACATCAAATAGAAACAATTAACCTTCAACTACAGATGTCAAACAAGACCGAAAATTAATAGAACAAATGTATAGAAATAGATTGATAATTAATAATTTGTCATTTATAAACCCCCATAATACATAATCATAACATATCCATATATATATATATAACCCTTTTGTCAATATTCCATGCTATTAATTCAAAACCTTATACAACTGAAAATTTAGACGAAAGGATGACTGCACTTAACGGCGGTTTTTGGGTCTTTTTCGGTCACTATTTTTACGTTTATTCCTTGCTTAATTTTTACTTCGAGTCATTTGTTATAGAGTTTGATCAATTTCCAACTGAAATATAATGTCATAATTGTTTTGAACTGCGTTGCAATAAAATACTTTGATGTTTTTTCACCCTAACTGCTCTGCAAATATCTGGAATTTAGACTTATCTGCCCTTGATTGAAGATAAGCTTTATAAATATGCATGAAAGGTGGAGCTAATATTGTAATGAGTGGTCTAAAATTAGAATAGAGTTACTGTATTTTTATTCTGTTGTATTGAACACATACATCGTCTCTTTCTCTCTTGCCATGTCACCATTATTTTTAAAGGTTTCAAGCAGAATATATAGCATAATTATAATATCGGCCGGTAAAATCGTAAACCAGTTGCTGATGTCGACAATTAACGTGTTCGGAAATAAGTACCGATTAGCTCAGTCGATAACGCACTGAACCAATAATACGGAGACCCGGGATCGAATCCTGTAAAGCATGGGACATTTACAAATTTATTTTCCGTAATATTCAGTTTTTTTAATTTTACTTTTAAAAAAATTGAAAACCATCACAATTTCTTTGGTTTCTTTGTCAATTTATTGAGCGTGTTATCTTAGTTTTTTGTTATCTTAGTGTTATCTTAGTTTTTTTTTTTTTTTTTTTTTTTTTTTTTTTTTTTTTTTTTTTTTTTTAAGCGATGGGGTTATTTTTTTTTTTTCAATTTTCCCTATAAATTAGCGTGGTTAGGGTAGTATGGTTTATTCTTAATTTACTGGATCCTGTCTTTGGACGTACGTATGTTAAAGAATGGTTCAAAAGCATGATATGATATTGATCTCTTTAATCTCGTAGAATACATATACAGCATACAAAATAACACTAAAAAACAGACTGATTATAGAAAGTGAAAGTTAATCACAATATCGTAAAAAAAATTCCACATGTACCTTTCGTATAAACTGTTCACATGCGGAAACGTTCATTATTTGTGAGAAACGTTTTCTTTATGTTGTTTTCATGTGTGTGAAAAATACTTTGCTCTTTCTGAAATAGGTAAAGGACTATATAACGTGAAATACGCACAAAAATATACTTAGAAACAAACAGGGGGATAATCATTAACTGATAATATTCTAAACATGAAGTTGTTAAAGTGGAAAAAAGAATTTTTATTCCGATGTATCGACTATGTCCGCACAGTCTAGAACATTATCTGACATAATCTGAGTACAATTATCTGCACAATTGTTATGTCTTTGTACGCCGATGTACCAAAGAACAGAGGCAACATGAGCACATGTACCAACTAAACGTGCTCCTGATCTGCATTGGCAATACCAAACTTTAACAGGGTCTTCCTTGTCCAAAACATCAAACTGAATCCATAAATAATATGACTTTGATGACACGTGACGTGACTGAATTTTAGCTTGGATAATATCTGGCATATTTTTGCCCACAAAAATGTCGTAACTACCGTCTTCGTCGATATGTTCTAATGAATAAGAAGACGCCTGCTTAAGCTGGTATATACCAAAAGTTAATGTACGCAAATACTCATCTGAAAGACGCGGGAAATCAGTCAGAGCATCATCAGCATCAATTCTTGTCATTTTGACAGCGACTCTTCTACCTGTCTCTTTAATAAAACGTTCTTTTAAAGGATTAACCGTAATTTTAGATCGTTCAAGCATACGTTTAGCTATTGTTTCGTCAGTAGATGAATCGCTTGCCAAAGGAGGTCTAAAAGCATTGATCAATGATGCTACTATCCGAACATAGTCACCAATAAAAGGTATTTGTGTATTGGTGACTATGTTTGCCAAAAACTGCCACCTTTTTAATCTGCCGTTTGCAGACTCAACTGCCCACCTTATTTTAGTTACAAGACGTGACAAGTTGGCTTCTTGGACCGTATGCTGTTTTTCCCCCTTTCCCAAGAAATATGGACATTCTGACTGCAGTCCGACTGATTTTATCAAATCAAGAGAATCCCTAAACCCCCTATCTAAAACTAAAATATCATCTTTTTTTGCCCAATTAAAGAGTCCATTGCCCTCCCCAAGAAGATGTTTGTTTAAGATTGCAGCGTCATTATTTTTGCCATCTGCCAGATACGGTCCAAGAATATCAACAATATATCCATCTGAAGCGACGATCATAAGGGGTTTGACCAGTGGACGGCCTTTGTAAACACTATATGATCTCCTCTGAAAGGTATATTTGGAACTTTTCTGAATGTAGATATATGTGCCATCTATCAACAGAATAGCTGTGTCATGACTGCCAGATGCTAGAAGCTCTCTTGCAAAAACTGTTGTGTGGTTTTTAATGATATCTTCTCTACAAATATTCTCAAAGCCCAGATATTTCGGGACAAAATAAGTCACCAAAGCCTCTCTTGCTCTTTTGATTATTCTACTTAAGTACCGTTCACTTTTTATATTGAATAACGTTCGCAAAATGCTGCTAGATAGCCCGGTTCTGAGTTTTGTAAGCAAAATAGCTAAAGC